TATCCAACTCTGTATGTATGTATATATATATATATATATATATATATATATATATGTTGGTGAATTTAAGAATGTTGTTGTCACTGAGAGCTGGAGCTGGCGATATTGTAAATGTGAATTTAAATGGTTATACAATCATGTGGCTTTTGTTGCTAGGACACCATGTATGCGGTGGACCCGTTGCCATGGTGCCCACACTTGGAGTCAGTGCGACCGGTGCCCGCAGGTGGCATCGATGTCTTCCTGCCGTGTGAAGAGTGTGGAGGTGATACAGAAAACTGGATCTGCCTCTTCTGCTACAAGGTGACAGCTAATGATGCTCAAAGTCACAGCAAAAACAACACATAGACTAGATGAGCCAAACTCATTCATGTAGCAGCTTTACAGAGTGCTGAATGAAGTTTAGAGTTACGGCTTGTCACTGACTCCTCCTGGTCTCATTCACTAAGCGTGCATGCAAATGCAAAAAATGTGGGAAATGTATGAAAAAATGTAGGATGTAAGGGAATGTACATCACTTCAATCCTATATATGAGTTGTTAGTTTTTAAGAATGCATAGAAAATAGTGAATGATTCGATTCATGTTTTATTTGCAATATATAAATTATTACCCATCAGGGAATACATGGAATTACATAGCTCCACTGTGTAAAAGCAATCATTACAAAAAAATAATTTGTACCTCAGGTGCTCTGCGGGCGTTATGTGAAGCAGCACATGGTGACCCACGGGCAGGAGTCGGGTCACCCTATGGTGCTGAGCTTCGCTGACCTCTCTGTCTGGTGCTACGCTTGTGAGTCATACGTCCACAACAAGGTGTGTGCCGCCCAGATCACGGTTCTGTACTCTGCTGAATGATGAATGACAACATGTTCATTTTGTATTGTTGTAATGTTGTACAATTAATTAAATTGTAACTGTCAGATTTAACATGCACATATTCAGTACATATGTACAGCAACTGTGTCACTGTCTGTCTCCGCACACACAGGTGCTCCATGAAGCCAAAAATACCGCTCACCTCGTGAAGTTTGGAGAGGAGATTCCTCCTTTCAACTAAACCAGCAGAGAGAAGGAAGCGTGTGTTTGCATGCATGTAGATGCAGTGAAGAGACCAAACTGAACTGTAGTGGAAGCAAGTTTCTTCATCTCATCTGTCTTCTTTCCTCACTTGTGTGTCTTGAACTTCCATCTATATTTCATAGATTCTCCTTGTGCCAATTGTGAGGTTGTTTGCCAAAATACTGATTTTATTAACGGAATTTGTTTGATTTTAAAGGAAATCTTCGTTTTTAAAAGCTGCCCTCTCTTTTTTTTCCAAACAATACTTTGATTTTATGAAGAGTTCTTTCAGAGGAATGGTAGCACGGTGCTAAAACCACACCAGCCAAATCGGTAGTATTTAGTGTTTCAAATGTATTACGTTCTCAATGCACAACCAACAGCGTTTGCACCGCACTGTTGAAGCATTCCTGTCTTCATTGTATGACTCCCGGCCAAGACGATCAAACTGTGGAAATTACAAAACCACCTTAAACTGAAAGCAATAAACAGTGCAATATTTACTTAAACAGCATCTGAGGACAGGCTGTAATGAGTTACTTTGTGTTTCTTTTCTTTTTTTAATGTTAAATAAACATAAATAACTTTTCTGTTCCATGCTTCTTCTGTTCTATAATTATACACTCTCAGAAAAAAGGTACATAAGCCGTCACTGGGCCGGTACCCTTTCAAAAGGTACACCTTTGTGCCTTATTTACTCATAAAGGTTGCAATACTAGTACCAAATGTGTACAAATAAGAAATATATATAAATACAATATTACATATATTAGACAATATTATTAACTGTAATACTTTTACAACAAACATATAAATATAAGAAATATATATACATATGTTTGTATGTATAATGGTGTTTTATTTTCTTTAGTTATGCAGATTTTTTTAAAAGTGTTATAGTGTTTTATTTTTTTAAATAGATCTCTCGCTCTCTCTCTAACATAAAAAAAATAAATAATAAAATATATATATATATATATATATATATATATATATATATGATTTGTT